GGAAGGGGAGGGAGGAGGGGGAGGAGGGCTCTGGGGGTTTAGGAGGATTGAAAATTGCGGGGTGATTTAGCTTTCTTCTCCCCCCACTTCCAAAAAACAAAAACAAAAACGCCGGCCTCCCTCGCCCTGGCTTCACCTCGCCGGCTGCGAATAAGAGGAGCTCGGATGTCCGGTTTCCTGTGAGGCTTTTTACCTGACACCCGTCGTCTTTCCCGGGCACTGCTTGGGAGAGCAACTTGCGAAGTTGGGGAAGTAGAAGCCCCGGACCTGCTCCCGCCGCCTCCGGCTCGTCCGGAGGGTTTACCGGGAGGATCTCGGTGGGAAAGGGACCAAGAGGGAACAGCAGCATCGCAGGGGCGCCCACGCCCCAACCCCGGCCCCCACAGCGGACCAGCCTCCTCACCTCTCGGTCCTTCCACCATGCACTTGCTGGACTTTTTCTCTCTGGCGTGTTTCCTGCTCGTCGCTGCGCTGCTCCAGGGTCCGCACGAGGCTCCCGCCGCCACTGCCTTTGAGTCTGGGAGCAGCGTCTCCGAAGAGGAGCCAGACGCAGGCGAGGCCAAGGTAGGTGCACTCCTCGCACCCGCGCCAGGCTGGGCTGCGGGCTGCGGAGCTGCGAACTGAGGGCCAACTGGCCTTGGGTGTCCTAAGACACAAAAGCTGCATCAAGTATGGGTACTCTTTAACCTCTTGTACCTTGGAGTCAAAGTTAATGAAGTGTATTTGTGCTTCCTTTGAAGAAAAGTTTTCTCTTTCTTGTACATTTTTTTTTTTTTGTGGTTTAATTTTAAAATAAAGTTACTAAGAGAACAAATTACACAAGTGACAGGCCGAGTGGGATGTCTAGTAATACAGCTCTCATAGTTTAGTTATGTCTCCCCTGATGCAGTGTGGGGTCTTGAATCCAGTGCAGTAAATGCAATAACCCATTGCTCACTCACTGGGATCATGAAGACCTTTCCTTAGCCTGATAGTCCGAAAGCTTCTGGAGCAAGGATGGTTTATTTACTTCATATGCTCCTTATGCTGTGGAGCTAGACAGTCTAAGTACAAGGGTTTAAAATTGGAGATTTCCGTGAAGTTGGTCAAACTTGAAATGCAGCAGTAGGCACTTCTCGTTCAGATTCTAATTAACTCATACTGCCTTTAGCTTTATGAACACTCAATCTTTGATATGATCGTGAAATAATACAAAAAGGTTTATTATTGTAACTTTTAAAAATGTGTGTTCAATTTTTTGCTTTAAAATATTTTAAGCTATTTATGAAGCATTCTGATTTTCAGAATGGAGTTACCATGTTTATGCCTGCTTCTTACTTGCTCTTCTGAAAGTATTAAGTTTAGATTTGACATACCTATGCTTAATAGAGTTCTTGAACCCCTGAAGAAGTTTTCTATCCCACACACTACCTTTTGCTAAAGTAGACAGCAGTGGTTTATGTCAGCAGATGGCAAGTGGAGAAGTGCCAGTAGTGTGTTACTGTCAAGTGTTACTTAACTAACATGATTAACATTCACTAGAGAATTACATTGCTATCCCATTTGTAGTTTGAAATACATTTTAAGATTGAGAACAATTCATAAAATCTAAAACTACCTCTGTCCTTAAATTTTGGAGGAAAATATAAAAAGAAAAGAATTTGTAATACATTGTCAGAGCCAAGAAAACAAACTTCTGAAGAAAAAGAGTACAAGTTAAGAATACAGGTATTATTGCAAAACAATTTTCAGTGCAAAATCTTAAATTGATAGGACAGTGACTAGAATGTTGTCCTCTCTAGAAGTACTAAAAAATCATAGCACTTCTTGTCTTTTGAGTGCCTTGAATTTTGCAATACCTGTTTACTTTGTGTAAAGTCAAACTCTTAAGACTTAAAACTTAGTAAAGCATTGCTTTTCTATTGATTATGATAACTTACTTTAGTTTGTAGTTCAAAAGTAAGAGAGGATTAGGAAGTAACATGACAGGTTTTTTTAAGAAGCCAAGAGTCTGTAGGAGATTTGTTCAGTTCTGTCAGTCCTAAGTTAATATGTCCGGGGAGAGGTGGTGTGTTAGAGTTATGTGTGCTCATGTGAATGCTGTATGTTAACTGCATGTTGTGTGTATGCTTGCAAATATTTATATGCGCATGTGTGTGTATTTAGGATTGTTGTTATGTTTAATCTAGTCAAGCATGACTCACAGTGACCCTTTGGACAACTGATCTGAACTCTCTTCTTTCCTGTGCCATCCTCACAATCTCTGACCCATTTGAGCCCATTGCTGCAGCCATTGTGTCAATCCACCGGGTCAAGGATCTTCCTTTGTTTTGTGTGTTACTCTCTTGTTTTCAGATCAATTATCTAGTAAAGGAAGTAAGCAGAGTATAGTAGTGCTTACTTACAAGTTGATAGGTAGCTTGAGTTCACTGCAGATTAGTAAATAAGCACAAGTAAGCATGTGCATACCTGTGCTTGTTGGGTATATTCATTCCTATCAGGGATAGTACATATGAAAGGAGGCTTTGATTCTGTAAGAAGGTGGTATGAACGTGGGAGAAAAAGATACCAGCCATACCTGGAAGCGTTATTTTTGATAGAGTGAAAAATGTGAAATTGTTCACTAGAGGTTAGTAAATATTCACAAGTATATTCATACTTCACTCATTCAATAATCTGACATATGCTATGTTTGTAGTGCTGTAACTGAAGGAGAAAAGTTAATTTTATTTTTAATTCTAAAAATTTTCTTTTTGCTACTTAAAATCCATATGCATTTTTTTGTTTGTACATGTTGCTTACATATTTAACCATCTTTTGTATTCAGCATAGTGAATATGGGATGATATTCTCCTGGAGGGTCTGTAGTGAGTTGATTCTGATTCGATGGCAATGAGAAGTGACAGTAGATAGGTCTCTTTCCCCCTATGGTTAAACATAATTTAAATCACCGAGACTATGAGACATGTTGCAGTAAGGTGTTTTCCCAAGGGTGAACAGAGTTACTGCTTTAATAAAACTGTCCCAGGCCCAAGACTCTATGTTGCTCCCTAGTGGCCTACAAAGGCCTCATTTAGACTTACACAGAGGGAACTGTGCAGAAAGAACTGGTCCTTTTCAGTGAGCACATAAACACTCATAAGTGAATTCAGGAAGTAATCAGAATATGTTACATTATTAATAGTTATAAAATAGTTCACAAAATACTTTTGAAAGTGCAAATGGTCAAGTTAGGAACTCCCAAATTAAGACTGAAGGTAAAATTACAAATGAAAACATGATGACCTTGTTTTTACAACCTACTTTTACATTTATTAAATTTCTCTTTAATTATTCATGTTTGTATGGCTTACTAAAAATTGAAAAATGTTACAGCAGTTAAGACTGTCAAAGGAATAAGGCAAACAAAAAATTAAAGCTATTTTGTGATTAAAATTAGCTAGACATGGTGGAGAAAAAAGAAGAAATGTTTCATATTATCATCAAACTTAACAAAAAATAGAATAATGTAGGAAAATTAGCAGTAAAATCCTGTCACTTGCCAGTTTGAAGTTAGATAGAATTCTATTTGGTTAGCTCAAAGTATTTTATTTTAAACTAGAAATAATTGGGAGGGGAAGAATATATCATGAAGTAAACCAGTGAACCTAATTATTTCAATAAGTTTGATGGATTGTTAGTATATTTAGATACTTACTTTGTTTGAGATTAATAGACGTGGAAGGGGCACGTTTACTTTGCAAATACCCTTGCAAAATATTGTTGTTTGCCATCAAATCAGAACCGACTTAGAGCTGACCTTTCAGCAGAAATTTAGAGTTAGTTAATCACAAAGGAGGAGATCATCCATCCTTCTCCTGTTTTCCTAATACAGAGCTCAGCAAAAGAAAGTTATAAGATTTAAGTCTTGTTCCAATTAAATGAATGAACTAGAAAAAAGATTCCATTACTGTAAATTGATTTTAACTCATAAAGGCCCTATGGTGTAAAGTAGACTTATGATTTCCAAGGTCATAAATCTTATGGAAACACAATGCCACATCTTTCTCCCATTGAGCCACAGGTGGGTTCAAATCAACCATTTGGTTAGCAGACAAATGCTTTAATGCTACAACTCCAGGGTTCTCTATAATCTGTTGTTGTTGCTAGATATAATCACATTAAATATGACTCTTAGCATCTATGAGCAACAGATTTGACTCTTTCCCTATCTTGTGCCATCCTCTCGATCTCTGATATGCATGACCACTTTATTGAAGTCACTGGATAAATCTATCTTTTACTGAGTGTTTCTTCCCTGAATAATCTAGATGATTGAATATTAATAAATTCATTTCTATTATGTTGTTGTTATGTGCTGTCAAGTTGCTTGCGACTCATAGTGACCATATGTACAAGAACCCTAAGCTCTGCTCTCTCCTGTGCCAACTTCACCGTCTCTGACACATCTGTTCCCACTACCCCGATCACTGACTCGATCCATCTCATCAAGGGTCTTCCTCTCCTGTGCTTTCCCTCCACTCTGCCAAACATGATGTCCCTCTCCACGAACTGATCCCTCCTTGCAACATGCCCAAATTACGTCAGATAAAGTTTCAGAATCCTTGCTTCCAAAGAGCAGCCTGGCTTCACCCTCTCCAGGACAAACCTGTTTTAAATAAATAGCTCTAACTGTCCCCTTATAAATTAAAGGGAAAGAAATAGTATAATTGGTAATGTTAACTGCTTTGATTAAAATTTTTAGTCAATTTAGTAGAACATATTTATGGTTTATTATGATGATCCCATACAACAATAACAACATAATAGCAACTTATTTGTAACATGGCATAAGTTCCTGCATTGTCTGTAAATCCACATACTTTAAAAATTTATTTTTATCTACTGTCTCTATTTAGTAGCAGTAGCAGTGTTTTTTCATACTTATCTTTATGTGCTAACTGCATCAGAACTTCTTAGAAGTCATCAGTTGCATTTCTATCTTTTTCATCTGAGACCAGTCTATGTTGGGTCTTGGTAGGTATAGTTTTAACAAACATCCTAGATCACCTCATGCATCCTTTCAGATTCACTGATACATATCATGGTGTTTGGCATGACTATTTCCATTAGATTTATTATCATTTTCATTGTAAAATTATTACATTTCTATGAGGTACCTTGTTAGATAGGCATTGGATATCCTGAAAGACTTAAGCCATTGTTTCTTTGTCCAAGGAGCTTAAAAACTAGTGGGAATACCCAAACTCAATAACTGCCAGATGCCATATGCCTGTTTGGCAAAGGAATGAATGGTACCAAGTGCTAGCTTGCTCCTGAAGATGAAAGAATAAACAATGTGAACTAGTTGATCGGGGTCCCTTGATATAAAGGAAAGCTATAACTTGTTTGTTAATTTCCAGGAGATGAAAACATCAAACAAAATGTGAGAAGGTTGGAAATTATGTCATATTCTGATAGATGGAGAAAAGAATAAAACTATCAGGAACATCTTACTTGGATCCACAGTCAACACTCTTGTTATCAGCAGTCAGGAAATCGGTAGTATTACACTGGGAAAGTCTGCAATTAGGAACTCTACAAAT